CACACACACACCACACACACACGATGAAACTGGATATACTTATACAAGTGAACATACACACACACAGCAGTGGAGCACAATTTAATAATCACAGATAGGTGAGTTATTGGAGTTACCATTCTAGCAGATAAGTGAATATTAAGGTGAATGTAATAAAAAAAAAAATCAGGCTACCGAATAAAAACAGATACTTTTGAGCTTTGGCATTTATGTTAACCTTTCCCAGCACAGTTGGTGGACTGTGACATAGAGATGTTGTACTTTATTATTGTACAAATAAACCTGACTTGACACAATTGTGAATGTACCAAGTAGACAGTTGCAGATGTTCTCAACTACACTAAAAAGGTGCCAACCTTACTGTTCCAAAGGTCCTCAACAATATTGTCATTAAAAATGAAAAGAAGCAAATGTACCATGTAGTGTCATAAATATGATGCTATTCTGGTTAATTATGTTAAGCTTTTATTAATGGCAGCGTTGCCCTCAGGAGAATTTTCTATTGAAAGCCAATAAGAGAAATTGTGCAAGGAGCGCAAATCAGGTGTCCTGTGCAAGTAAAAAATGTAATCTGATTGAATGAGTCCTTTATTTTTTCATCCAGACAGGTTTACATGTTAAAAAAAAAGCATTGAACCCATATAGTTTAAACTGCTAAACATGGTAAATGTTCCCTCTATCCATTCACTCTTGTAGGCCAAGGAGTTCTTTCAGATGGACGGCTATGTGACAGACCACATCGAGATCCTGCAGGATCACAGTGCTCTGTTCCGGGGCCTGGCTTTCTTCGAAGAGGATCTGGAGCGGCGCTGCAAAATGCACAAACGACGGGTTGACATGCTTGAGCCAATCTGCATAGGTAAGTTTGTCCTTGAGTTTTTTTGTTTCTTCTTTTCGAAGGAACTTTTGTCTTTTTGAATAATTTCATAGAATACATTAAAAATAGATAAAACAAATGACTGTGTTCAACCCGAATGTCCATGTCAACATAATTGATCAAATCTGACTCCCTCTGTTTCATTACAGACTTGAACGCCCAGTACTATCTGTTGATCCGCAGACAGTTGATGTTTGAGTTGGCTGAGACCTACAATGAAATGATGGACCTAAAACTGTCACTGGCCAATAGACAGGCAGATACACAGTCTCTAGATAACCACACCATAAAGAAATTCAACAGTCTCTGCTCTGCCTCTGCCAAGTGAGTATACATGTGCGTACGAAAGAAGTGTGTGTCTGTGCAGCTACTCTTCAATATTAATTATTTGAAATCCTCTGTTCTCCTCCCCAGATACTTCCAGATGTTCCTGGACTCACTGTGCTCTCCAGAGGGGAAGCTTCCGGAGCACCTGGAGGAGGAGGTGCTCAGACCGGCTCTGGTAGCCCGCTTCAGAGTGGCCCGACTTTACAGCCGGCTGATTTGCTCTCTGCCCTCCGTTCAGCTGGACAACCTCAACAAGTCTCTGGAAAACTACAAGTATGAATTTGTTATTTTCTGATACATGCAAACACTTTCACTCTCAACAGGAGTACATATATATATATATAGTATGACAGTAATAGGTTGATGTTAACATAGAGGCACAAAGAAAATAGAATGAAAGACTGATGTATTTGGTGGAATAGAAAGGATTTAGTTGGAAGCAATTCAAATAAATGGAATGATGGGTGTGCTCTACAGTAAACATGCTAACAGCTGCCATGTTTCTTGTTCTAGATATGTGGCACAGTATTGTGAGGCCCACCCTGAGGCAGCAGCCGCTGTGGAGACAGAGCTGGAGCTCAGTAAGGAGATGGTCGACCTGCTCCCTCTCAAAATCAACCGCATCAAAGCACGGATGGCTTTAAACAACTGAAGGATGGCACTGTTCACTGAGTGACGGTGTAAAGTACATCCAAATGAGTCAGTCAATCTGTCAGTTTAACACCTTTATAGTCAATGGACACTCCAAACAATTAGAGAAACTGGATGGCAAGATTGACTGACTTCCTTGCTTATTTGTATTGTTGGTGGCCTGTTTTTGTGCAGTGGGCATGCTGCTTTCGCAAGACCGTTTGAACACATTACACGCTGTACATATGTGCTCTTTTTTGTGTAGTAACAGTTGTGGTTAATTCAGACACCACATAAGATATACTGTCTTTAAGATGAATATGAAAATGTCTAGTCTGTTTCATATTTGTTTTCTACTGTTAATCATATTGGTTTTCATTTCAAGGGAAACGTTTATATTTTTCAACCTGTGTTTTTTTGTGATTCATGGGGACAACCATTTTTGACGGTGTTTTAAAGGGTTATTCCAAACTAATGTGTTAAAACACCACAGTCGCACAGTAACACAAACAAACTGACAGATCGAGGCAGTGGGAGACCAGCAACTCAGCCTGTCAGTGGCATAAAGAAGTATTTTTAGTGGACATTCGTTGACGGTGCACAGTTGCCCCATAGGATTACGTTGCAGCCAGTTTCACAGCTGCAGCCCTGTCGCTCAATACTGGACCACTTTTAAAAATTAGTGCACCCATTAGTAACATTAGTATGATGAAAAACATGGGAAAATGGGGTCCAGGTCGAAAAATAAATAAGTTTCCCTTTAACGTGGCTTATTTTCTGTAAAGCAACTCGGCACACTAAAATTATTTTTCTTCAGCTGCTTTTATGTCTCTGATGGTGAAACAAATATTAAACCTACTATAACCATGGTTAGTGCAACCGTGGTAATAACGATAGGCAGTACAGATAGTAGAGTTGACGTAGTTTGTACTACTGACAGGTTGCTGTTCCTTCTTACAACTCAGATGCTTGTTGTGGAAATTATCAGAACAGTTTCAGAAACAAATGTCATTAAGTGGACTTTAATAGACATCATATTCTGCATGATGCCAGCTTCATATTTATCATTATACTACACACGGTTGTCTCAAAATGCAAGTTGTAATGCCACTCACAAAACAAATTGAATCTGTATTTGCTTCCTTCCTGTGAGGAATCACAATGTCATCCTGTTGTATGTACTGTAAATACTGTATGTAATGATAATAAACAAAGTAATACTCACTTCTGTCACATTACCAATATGTGCTTCTTTACCTTCAAATAAGAAACGGTGTAAGATTGGAAATTTCTCTTGTATATCTCTATACAATAGAAGTGCCAAGTTCATTTAATGACTTAATTACTTAAATGATTTAATAAAGGCTAAAATTGTCTCAGTTTGCGGCCCAGAAGAGTTTAGGAACGCTTTTTTCAAGTCTGTCAAATGACTTTGTGCAGTAAATTGTCTCAAACAGTTTTGGGAGTTTGTCACCCAGTTGTGTCCTGCAAATTTCTCATATTATGAGGTCAGATGTGTGGCACCGTTGCCTTACTCTGTGCTGCTTCCTCTCTGAGGTCAATTTGGCTTTGAGGTGAAGCTGTACTGCTGCAGGACATACAATGTGTCTGATCTTTTGGGTCCAAGTGTCCTATAAGGTTAAGCAAATCTTTTATCTTGTAGTAACTATTCAAAGGAAATATTGTAACAAATGAGTGGAGAAACATTGCATATATAGACCTTCCATGCATACACTTTGATAGTTTTTTCTTTAATTCGTCACCCATCTCCACCCGTCTGTAGCCTATTAGTCCAATATGTGAAACTTGCTCTTTGTATTGTTAAACCTTTTTTAATTAAATTTAATCAAATACTGATTGTGATGTAAAATGCGGTTACAAAACATTATTTGTGATTTATCCATGCAATGGAAACAATTTCAATGGATGAAAACCTGCAATTCCTGCTTTCATTTCTGTTCCCACTAACCTTTCTGATGCTTGTCAAAACATGTATTTACATACCTTCTTAGCACAAGACACTTAAATCTAATTTGGTGTGAATGAGAACTGTGCCAAGAGAGCTTAATGGAAATCCCACCCTTTCAGAGAATACACATAGAGATGTACAATATTGCATTTATATTTGCATATCTAAGCAGAATCTAAAGTAAAACTCCTGGGTGTTTTTTGCAGATCTTGTATAATTTTGTAGATTTTTTTGCCACGTACCAAGAATAACTGCAGATGTGCTTGCTGTATGTGAGTAACAAACATGTCTGAAGTAAGTTTAGAATAAAATAAATTTAAAACTTGAATGTCTCATTCCATTGGATTAATTTAAACTTGGACCTTTTTATGATTGTTTCTGATGCTGTTTGTATGT